TTGAGCGAGGGGGAGTGGGGTGGGGAGAGGGGTGGGGAGGTTGATCGCAGAGGGGGACGGGAGAGAATGGAGGAAGTAAAGGAACGAGAGGAAGGAGAGGAACGCGAGGAAGGCCAAAAGGGCGCAAGTCGAGGTCTTCGCTGCCGATCTGTGCTCCATCGCCCTTCGTTGTCGCAGTAATACTATCGAGCTTAATGAGTCCGCAACCCTCCAGCGCCTATGATGAAGAACAGGCAGCAGCAGCTGGCGGGAAAAAGGGTTGCGAAGCAAATCGTGCCGTCGAGCAGGAACGCAAAGCGCCTCACTGATAGTCGGAGAAAAACTCCCTCGGACAAGCAGGCAGCAAACAAAGCGCAAGCTATGGCTAGGTTGGGTATCGGAACGAGGAGTAGGAGAAGAAGCAGGAACGCGATGCTCTGAGCAGGGGCGGGCGCTAAGTCGGACAGGCTGGGTTCGGCGGGGCAGGTGGGGGGAGGCTGCATAGTGCTCGGCCTGGAGTGCTCAGGTACCGGGGTACGACAGAGGGACCAAGAGAGTGTCGCTTCACAATGTCGTTACCACTTTTTCCTCCTCCCGCTGCTCATCCTCCAAGTCCCAGTTGGCAAAAAAGTCCATGTCGCCCGTCGCTTCGTCTATTCCCCACGCAGTCCCCGACAAACTGACCGCACTGCTAATCGCGAAAGTTGTCGATTCGTGTGTCAGTTTGATGAATAGAACACCCTCTGTTCTGTTTTGATATAGTCCCGAAGCATGCCCAACACCCACAGCCTTCCAATGCAAGCTATCGTTCCTATTCCACTATTCCTACGTACTTATCGGATGGTCACGAAAAAAGCAAAGAGAAAAAAAGAAGAAAAAAGAAAAGAAAAAAAAAGAAAAAAAAAAAAAGAAAAAAGGAAAAACGAAGAAAGGAAAAAGGAAGAAAGGAAAAAAGGAAAAAAGGAAGGGGGGATTGGGGAGGGGAGGGGGGGAACAAGGGACACCAGGGGTGACACAGTCCAAGAGCAAAGACCCGGCTGAGACCTACCTACGCTCCCCGGGGTCGTGTATTATTCAAGTCCCGCCCATAATTGTCAAGATCCGAGAGCGAGCCGTTCTCGAAATCCATGGTCGGTCGAATCCCGCTGCTCAGGATTTTATTCGGGGTTTTCCTCCAGTGTTTTATTCGGGGGGTCGGGACCATGCTACGTTTGCCCAATCAGAAAGGAAAGAGGCGGGACATGAAGAGGAGGGGAGAAAACGGAAAGAAAGAAAGGAAAAAGGAAAAAAGGAAAAAAGGAAAAAAGGAAAAAAAGGAGGCAGAAAGAAAAAGAAAGAGAAAGAAAAAGAAAAAGAAAAAGAAAAAGAAAAGGAAAAGAAAAAAGGAAAAAGGAAAAAGGAGAAAAAAAGTGGTGGTCCGAAGGGCCAGAAGGGCCAATGAGCCGTCCACCCTTCCCATTGCCCATGACGCGAGTTGAGAGGGAAGGGGGCCCGTCCATCCATCTTCCATCGATTCTCCTCTTTCTCTCTTCGACCTGTAAGTGTGTGTGTGTGTGTGTGTGTGTGTGTGTGTGTGTGTGTGTGTGTGTGTGTGTGTGTGTGTGTGTGAGT